CAAATTGTGAAATTTTCTGATTTCAGTGTTTGAACACATAGCAATTCAAGGAAAAAGAAAGAAGTGCTTGAAAATGGAATACTGTGGGACATTGTGCACACAATTTTGTAATTCCTTTGTATTTGTAACTGAATCAAAACTGAAAGTGCTTCAGAAAAGTGGAAACTCGGAATATAAATTATAAAAGTCAAAGATGATTTCAAATCACAGGAGAGAGACTATATCTGGACCTCAATAACTAGGAATAGGATTTGAGAGTCCCTGGAGTATTTTTTCTTTCTTTTTGTTACCATTTCATATGTTTGGTATTCTCTTCACAATGTCCTCCTTCTGTCTCATTAAAGTCAGCTGTTCCAAACAAGAAGGGATTTGGGCTACAAATAGCTCTACATTGCTTTTGCCTTGCAAGAATGATTGTTATTCATTTCAATGTTTAAAAAAAAAAAAAAAAAAAAAAACTTGGGGACAAGACACTGATTGTCCCCAAATTGAGGGAAAAGGAAAATATGCACGAAAATTTGATTTCCCTGTGCAGATGTCTACTCATTGATGAAACATTTGTTGCCAATAGCAGTTTTCAAAACAAATATAGGTGTCGGGGAAGTGGGAGGGCCTACATAATGAATTATAGATCAGTACCACTGATATTGCTCCATTTAAGGTATTTTAGCTGGTCAGCTATGCCTCAAGTTGCAAAATTAAAAAAAAAAGATTAATTTTAGAAGCAGAGTTCAAGGAATTCTGTGTAAATTAGCTAGACGACTCAATGACCTAAGATGAATCATATATCCTCTCTAACCTTTGTTTCTTTGTATGTAAAGTGGACATTAATTCTACTCTAAGACTATCAGCAAAATCAGCAAAGATTAATGATGTGCTTAAAATAAAATTTTAATGGCTCAAACCCATGAAAACTTAGTTTTCACATATTTAGAGACACACATTGTTTGCCATAAATTAATTCTCTGTTTAATTTAGCTACTTGAAGACTCAAAATGATAGAAAAAGTTTTGAATGCTTGTCTGTGTGATAGAAAGAAACAGAGATAAGAGTTCTGATTTACTAATTCCATGATGCCTTTTGAAGTTGACATCTTACTTTTTTCTGTTTATAGTTCATTGGTTGGAACAAGTCACTTGGTCCCTCTCAACAAGTGGCCCTTAAGGAATAATCCCACACATTCCCAGATTTAGGATTATTAAATAGTGAACAGAGTACTATGTTCTTTTTTCACATACAAATGGCATGTAACTTTACCCAGAGATACAATATGGAATTCTTATCTGCTCCTGGCATCAGGTGCAAAGTGGAAGTAGTATGTAAGGAAACTTGATTTGGAAATGAAACTGGATTCTCTACTGCTGCAATTGTGGTGGAGAGATGTGGAGAGTAGTAACTTGGATTGTGGTCTTTGACTGCCTTGGAGCTGTGTTTGTGCTTTGCCAAGGGAACTTACTGTGCAAAGGAAGAGGACAATATTGCCCAGAAGCTATGGTAATGCCCTGCCTGAGAAAGTTCTGTGCAAAGATACAGAACAATATCAGTCTTGACCTTGAGCTCAGACACTAGCTGCCATGAATAGAGAGTTCTGAGCATAACAAGATATCAATAAAATACTGCAAGTTCTGCAAACTTCAAGTTTGCCTGCTTTGCAGAAACTTTTTCACAAATAAGCTTTTGATGAAACCTATATAATAAACATGACTAGTGGCTCTGGGTCACTGTTTCTCTATCAGAGGTTGGTGTCCCACCTGGTCCCAGCTTTCTCTTGAATTATTCAAGTGAGAAGGAAGCAGAGATTTCACTGAGTGAAAGGGGTTCTGATAGGGGATTTCCATTAAAGTGTACTAGTCCAAGGGCTTGTATGGCCCCTGCTTAAGGGCAGTACTCAATATTTATGCTAATCAGATATTGGAAATTGCCAAGGCTATTATTTAGGCTCATGACATTCTAGCTGGTTGTGACATTTTGACCCTTGAGATTGAAATTTTCTGTAGGTCCCACTCAGGTTTTCAGAGCCTCTTTAGACAAAGGCATCATCTGGAAGGTTTGGAATGTTTCTACAGGGCAATCCATTTCTACAGATCAGCCTGTACATTCCATTTTACTTAGAGAAGACATATTTTGGACCCATTGCCCTAATTGCCTTAATTACTTGACTGTTTTACTATGTGTCTCTGCAAGCTATTCAGAACTTTTTTTTTCTAATATACTGGTGACTGAACTCTTGGGCACTCGATCCCTGAGCCACATCCCCAACCCTATTTTGTATTTTATTTAAAGCCAGGGGCTCACTGAGTTGCTTAGTGTCTCGCCATTGCTGAGGCTGGCTTTGAATTCCCTATCCTCCTGTCTCAGGTTCTCAAGCTGCTGGGATTATAGGCATGTACCATCATGCCTATTAAGTAGTATTTATTGATATCTAAATCAGGGTATTATTTCTATCAGGCTCTTTATCCATAATCCCTATAAATTAGAATTAAGCTGTATGATGCATCCAGGAAACAAGATAATCTCATTTATTTTTTTCAGAAGAAGAATAAATTACAGATTTGCAGGTCAATTCTAAAATCTACCTGGATAGCTACTGTAGAGTTAACTTCAGTTCATTTTTCTCTATATATATTTATTTCATTCTCCCCAGGAAATTATCCTTTTTTTCCATCTATATACTAAATCTCAGGTAAAAGAGGCACTGAGAATCATATCCTTCTTGGAAATTTAGCAGCTCATTCTTTGCCAGCTTTCTGTGTGTAGGAGACAGAAACTTTTCAACAGTCATACATTTGATATCTGTAGTATTTCTGCTATATTCTTGTCTTGAAGAGTCACATAAAATTTTCAGCCTAAGACACGGTTTCATTGTGTTCAAAACAGTAGGTTTTCTGTCTGTTTGCTTCAGTTAGTAACATGTGCTAATACCCACATCCACATTATTTTTTTTCTATACATGCTTCTCTGGTAACAAGTCTTTGCTTTCTTGATTCTATCATGCTGTCCTTTCTCAATTGCTAGTATCTTAAATATATCAGTTTTCTCTAAAAAAAAACCCACCATTTTAATTTTCTTTTTTGGAGTCATCTTTTATAATAGAAATAATTTATTGGAAGTCAAATCTGAGTTGAATTTGTAATCTGAGAAATCTAAATTGAGTCAGAATTTATTTTGAGTTTTACCAAATATTTGTTGATTTTTTCAAAATAATAGTAAACACATTATGTTTTTCTAAATAGGTTATTTTTGTGAAAAAAATCTATATTTTCCAAAGCAAACAGAAAATTAGAAGAGTGACATTAGTTCATATTTTTGAAAGTCTTTTTAATGTCTGACTTAATAGAAGGCAGATTTTTAACTTCATTGAAGCAAATGAAGAAAATCCAGCCTATAATGGTTATGGAATCAGAAAGTGATTGAATATTTTTATAAACATTTCAGATAATGCATAGACATTGTTTCTTAATATTACACCAAAACTCAACAAGTGGTAATTTCTTAAAGGTTATTTGTAATGTAAGCCTGAAACTATGGCAGATGCCAAGTGTTACAAAATTCCAAATGAGTCAGCATTTTTAAAAATAAGTGCCTGTGGTTTTTTTTTTTTTTTTTTTTTTTTTTGCTTAAAGCTTCTCTCAGTTTGATGTATTTTTCTTGTCTGCCTATGAGAAACAATTACTTATTTCAAACTTGCAAGTGTCCATGTTTCATGACATTTCTCCTATTTCATCTGTCTTATTATCTGATTGTTCTGCAGTAATTTAATAAACAAACTCAACAGTAATAAACATAATCAACAATTCAAGTTATTGCTCTAGACCTGTGAGTTTGTTTGATATCAGAAAGGTGGTCATTCTCAATATCTACCTTTCACTATTTACATGAGCTGCAGGACCTCAGTGGTTCCATTTCTGTTCTGGTTACCAGTAGCTCATGTCTACTGCTCACTATGATGATGGACAGAGGTATACAGTGGCAGCATATAGTCAAAAATTACATAAGTGTACACATGCACATGTAAGATAAGTATGTCCATATTTTGCATATGCTGTCTCCATACTTTATCCTCTGTGACAGAGGAAGAAAGAGAAAAGTACATGCAGGGAGAGGAGAGAAAGAGAGAGAAAATAGTTTATCAAGCAAAACATCTGTGTATTTTACACCTTTTTATTATTTATTTCTTAATTTATTTATTTAGTTGTAGTTGAACACGATATCTTTATTTTATTTATTTATTTTTATGTGGTGCTGAGGATCGAACCCAGCACCTCACACTTGCTGGGTGAGCCACAACCCAAGCCCCTTTACATGTTTTTTAACAACAAAAATGTTAATAAAATTTTTAAAATTATGGTTATAGTTTGGATCTTAAGTGTCCTCAAAGGGTCTCTTTAAGAGGTGGAGTGAGAGGTCTTCAGGGCATTGGGAGTCTGAATGTGAAGGGCATTGTGAGACCTTAGTTTCTTCCTTTCTCCTCTCTTTATATCCTTCCTGGCCATAAGATGAGCATTTCAATTTTGCCATGTGCTCCTGCTGTGATGTGCTGTCACATACATCATAAGCCTAAAAGCAGGAAGTCCAACTGATCATGAACTGCAAACTCTAGAATTGTGAGCCAAAATAAACCTTTTCCCCGAGGGATGGTAGTGTACTCCTGTAGTTCCAAGAACTTGCGAGGCTGAGGCTGGAGGATTGCTGAGGCCTATCTCAGCAATTTAGCAAGGGTCTTAATAACTTAGAACATAATTTAAAAAAAAAATTAAAAGGAACTGAGGATATACCTCAGTGGTAAAGAACACCTGAGTTCAATTCTCAGTACATACAAACAAAACCCCCAAAACAAAATAAACCTTTTATTCTTAAAAATGATTATCTCAAATATTCATATACTGATGGAAAGCTGAATAACACAATTAAACCCGAAAAAACCTAAAGCTATATCTTACTTCAAAATAAAATTGAGTTGTATATCTGGAAGAACAGACTAGAATATTTTGAAAACTTACATTTCTTTGGCTTCTGGTCCAGGAGATTTCCCTTTATAGGATTTCTTCTTTGATGAACATTTATTCTGGCATTCAGTTCTCGTCTGAAGGTCAATTATGCCTCTTGTGTTATTCTCAGCCACATGAGCTGCTGCTGGAAATCTAATCATGTTTTATACTGTGTCAAAGTCTGTGGGTACTTTAAAGTAACTGCTCAACAGCACAAAAATAAAGGGGGAAGTTTGACCTTTCTGAAATTCATCCAGGTTCTTTTTTTCTCCATTTCGTGACATTGTCACATAATATACTATTGTAAGAGAAATATTTGAGAAGAATTAGGGGAATCTTGTTACAAATTTTAATCATCCCAAATAACATGATAGAGTTTTGTGATGGTACAATTTCAGTGCATCATTCCATCATGAGCTCTCTATTATCCTTGTGTATGTAAGATAAAAGTTTGGCATAATATGCTGTCTTTACTTACTTTCCAGTAAAACATAAACATTCCTCCATAACCATTCAGAGATAATTCCTGACACTCTGCATGCAGCAACTTCTCTTTTGATTTTCATAGAGTAATTCCCAGCACTAGTAGCCCCTCCCAAATCTTAGATTTTAAAATATCCTAATCCATTCTCATTCTCAGTACAAGTCTAACTCATATGCATAAATTAAGATAAAGCTATGGTTTTCTCTTATATAATTAAATACTTACTAAAAATGGAGTTATGTTCTTGGTGGGAATTCCCTACAGTTTTTGGACATGATAGTTAATTAATTGCCATAAACATTACTGTACTATTTCTAAAATTATATAACAATTACATGTGACAAATATTTTAATAATGTTTAGTTAGGGCAAACATGTCATAATTACTTTTTACCCTGCACTAGAATAACCAAGTTTGTTCTAAATAAAAAATATAATTTATTTAAAATAACATATCCCTGGCCATAATTATATTATAAATATATATCTACATGCTTCATGATAACTCAGTTAATATATAAAGATCATGTGTCTTTAGAAATTTCAAATTTTATTAAATCATTATAATATATGCTTAGCTTTCTAAAACAGGTCATTTCCATGTACAGTAACATGAAATATGAAGATATTCTCTATTGTCTGTATTTAGGTCATTCTCTACTCTAACCATACTTCAAAAGGAAATTTAAGTTTTTTGTGTTTTTTTTTTTTTTCCTAGACTTGGGTGCTAAAAGAATGTGGATTGGATCTCAAGATACATGTGTCATTCTTCCATTGTAAAGATCTTCATTCCTTTGACCAAGTAATTCCAATTTTGTGAGTGTCAAGTACCATATATGTAAAATGGAAGATGGGCCACATTTTTTCCAATATCCATTCTACCTCTAGTAGCATTTCAGAATATTTTTGATCTACCATAATAGTTAAATCACAATGTGCATTTCAAGATATTTGTTGATGACAAACTACATTTTTCCATTTGTGAAAAAATAAAGATGATAGAGCTTAATGTGCATGTACTTATTTGGTAAGAATTAGTTATTGATTATCAATGTACACATTGATAATCAATAACTAATTAGAAAAATGATAATTTGATGATAATTAATACATTCCTTGTACTTTGAGGAAACATATCAGTGTGATAAATCATCAGGTTAATCTAGAGATCATGTATAACTCATAGATGTTCCAAAGGATATTAGTGCAAATGAATGCCCATTTTTAGATGACAATTTAAATCCAATTTATCATTTTTAAATACAACCAAGTGTTACAAACCTACTTTCTTAAGGTGTCTTCCTATTATTTTATTTGCACTTATCACCACATGATGACACATAATCATGAATGCTTAGTATAGATAAGATACTTTTTGTTTCATCTATTAGTATTTCCTTTGTATTCACATAAAATAATAAACTTCATTAGAAGAGAAGCTATTATCTTCTATTTCTTGAAATGGCTTTTAATCTGATCTCACTGAGCAAAATAAAATACCGGGTTGCTGGCATCAGGACCCTATACCCATAGGCTCCGGGCATATTGAATGTAATATATTTCTTGGGTTTTGAGTATAACCTATAAGTTAAGGCATCTTGTGGAGATACTAAAACCAAAATTCATGCATTTGAAAGATAGACTTGTCTGAGTTCAGAAAAACCCATGTAACTGGCAGCTGAAACCTACTGTATAACTAATGCTGTTAAATGTCAATCACACCCAGCATTTACAAAGGGGAACCTAGGGAAACCCTTGAGCCATGGTCAGGTGCTTTCACTTTTGTTAGGGCTCTCATGACATTTGTCTTGTGGGCTCTTACGATATTTAACCCACAGTATGGGTTAAAAAATAGAGAATTTAAAAGTAATAAGCTGCTTTATTTTTAATCTTGAATGAGTTTGGTATTTATTATTAATATTTACCTCATGATTAAATCTATGATGAAATTAGCTAGCATTAGTTTCTCTATACTACCTCAGTGGTTCTAGTAGTGGTATCAACAGCCAATTCCGAGTATTAAATCATTTTTAGCTTGAAATAGAGTAGGTTCTGTCTTATTAATATAAACATCAAATAATAAATGGTGGAGGTAGACTTTGAAGATCAAATCTAAGCTCAATATCCTTTTCTTATAGGATAAAACCAGGAACAAAGATGCACACTCCTTCACTCCAAGTCCAATGATCTCTTTATTGAACCACGTTACCATATAAGAATATACTTTATATAGAGAATTTCTCACAGAGATGGCTATATCAATGAAAATTGAATCATGAAAACTTTATTGTTTTGAAGGAGGTTATTGTAATCTATATAGATCTAGAATTTAAAGTACTACTACCTGTTTCTTCACAGTAAAAAAATTATCTGTTGAACTATTTTTTACTAGAATACTGATTTTCAATAAATGAATTACTCTGGCATTTTCTTTCATTTTAATATTTTTTTCCGAGTGCTCAAAAATGTCATCAATCACTTATAACTATGTTTGTCAACCAGAGTTTCCTTAGGTGAGCAGCAGAAAAGTTGAAAGTGAGAGAGAAAGAGAGAGAGAGGGAACAAGAGTGCGGGCATAGCATCAGGTATGGATGCATTTCATTAATCTTGACTGTCCCCTTTGGCCATGGTAGCTGTACCATCAGTGCTTTCTCTGGGGCCATCAATCATTCACTCTCTAGAAGTGTCACCTGATCCTCAGTTCTTCCTTCTCTCTCATATCATTACTGTCATTTTTCTCAACGTAGGAATGCAGCACACAGACCTATTGAGAATAGAATAATTCTTAATAAGACCAAAAAAATACTAGGTAATATTACTGTGAAATATTCAATGCAATAGACATTTTAAGATTTTTTTCAGCAAATATTCACAAAATTTCCACATTTTATAAGATTCCCCATATATTAGTGAGGATCCAGAGCTGTTTGTGGAATATTGTATGAAACAAAACAATTTATGTAAACTGTTTCCCCAAGTACACACCATTCCACAAACAATTCCTTTGCTTAATTACTAAATGTTAAAATAGATATATTAGATTTTAATCATCAATGAATACATTGCAAACATTGTTAAAAATACAACAGGAAGTGAAATAAAAGCTGTTTTCCCTCATTTATTTTCTATTGCCAACAAGTTTCGTTTTTTTTTTTTTCCAGAGCAATCTTTGTCCCATCTTAACTGCATGATTATTTAATCATTCATGTATAATCATCTTCATGTATATTTATTTTATATAAATAGAAATTAACTACATATTCAGGTATGATTTTTTCTTTTATTAAAACTCAGTCCATGTTTACAATGCTTTTGGGAATATAATCCTTTACAAAATCATTATAATTTTGTTCTACTTATAACCTTTAAAATACATTTTTATATAATATTCCTAATCATTTTTTCTTTATGTCTATTAACTTCCCACTGTGAAAAATGAAGAGATCTATTTTCTCTATTTCTTAGTTTTTGTAATTGTTCATTGTTTCCCTTAGTTATTGTACTGATTATTTTTGCAGATTTAAGTTACTTAGACTTCTCTTATTTATTATTGTTAAATAATTTTTATTTTTAATTATTTTTCCCTCCTAAACTTCTTGCCCCTTCTCTTCAGATTTCTTTGCAATATAGTACTTACACATTATCAGATTTCATATTACATCATTCTCCATGCGCACACTTTTTTACACTAAAATGTGCAAATAAATAGATTTGTTAGTCAGTGGAAATTCTTTGCAATGTTTTCTCTATTAATGTCTTACCAGAAACTTATCTTCTGATAATATCTTTTACAGAACTCATATAAATTATAAATGTTGAGGGAATTATTTCATAGTAAAAATGACTTTGGTGTTCAAAACTATCTTAAACTTTAACTTGTCCAGACAAAGAATTTTGTAGTCATGTTTGATTTTTATGAAAATGTTGCATGCACCTCTCCACTAATAAAAAGTAACTATGGGAAAGCAGACTAATTTTTTTCTTTTAAATATAGCTTGATATTTTCATGTCATTAATAAATAAGGATTCTTCTTTCTATTTGTAATGTAATACCTTTAATAGAATATCCACTTAACAAATATTTTATGATTCTGTGTCAACTATTCATAAAAGTCTTGTAGTCTTTAAATTTGTAGAGTCAAATTCCCTTCATCCTTGTCAATTTTTCTTAAATTTTATTTTCTCATTTTTCTCTCTGCTCTTTTATATTATTTATTTTCTTCAAGATATTCAGTTGTACGTTTCTTACATCCCTCTTGTCTTCCTTGGTTATGGCTGTCCCTCTGTACTTTTTTTCCAGTGCACTTTCTATATGAAATTCTTTAAGGTTTTCAGAAAATTTCAGTGGCCAACAATGTGAAAGGAGTAATTCTCGCACATTTCAAATGTGGATTAGTACCACATATTACATGAGGAGCTGTCAGTAAAACAGATAAAACTGACATAGGGCAAGGAAAATGCTCTGAGCATTTTGGTGGAGATATAAATTATAAATATATAACAGCCTGCTCTAGGGCTTGGAAAGAGTATGGACAGTTTTTTATTTTGTCGAGATAAATGAAGGATTTATAGAGATTGAATGAAATTTTGTGGAACAGCT